ACACACACACACACACACACACACACGCACACTCACACACACACACACACACATACACACATTTTGTGCACTTTCATGCGGGCGTGGGGAGAAAGGTAGCAAAAGTGGCCAAGTAGCCCAGGGTGTATATACATTGTCTTATTGGCGACTTCGAGATCTTTGAAGTCCTTGGCGTTATCTGGAGAGGTTTCGCGAGTAATTCCCCGTGCACGCCGAGTTCTGGCGCGACGCGGCTTGGCCTCCCGACAGCCCGGAGACGGCTCTGTGGGTCCGGAATGTCTCGCGGTGCCAGGCACGGTTACACAACACTAAGCGGTCTTTTACTGTACGTTTTGTTTCATTACTTCAACTTATGTTCTCGAATTTATTTGACCCATCATAAGGCAAGATTTTTTAAAGCTTTAAAATTTAATTGCATTGCGAGAAAGTTTACGAACAAAGCGAGGAGCTCTTAAGCAGAATGAAGGGCTCTTTTGGCGGTTTTGCTTCAATTACCCTAGAAAAACTAAGGCTCAGTATTAGACTCCACCTTGCGTCACTTCTGAAAATGGCGTGTGTCAGAATCTGTTTTACCCTCCAGGGCGGTGCTATTGACTGAAGTGTCTTTAGGCCATTCCCAAAGGGGGACATTAATATTTTCTTATGCATAGTAGAATTGTAAATTGTAAATAGGCTGATTCATCAATGTCATGCTGATAACTGTGCCTGAACTGCAACAGGGAACTGCTTCTCCCCCCCCTCCCCTAATCCTTACTATCGTCATTTTTCATCTACTTCTTTTGTATGTTTGTCACACTGTTGTGACCCGCTATTTCCGGGGTGCCTTGGCAGTCGAAACAGAATTTGTGCCGTTGAAGCTAAAGAGGTGAGCAGAGCAAGCCCGATTCCCTGTAAGGAGTTCTCTGTTGACATTCACCCAAATTTTTGGTCTAACATTCTACATAGTGGCACCTCACGATGTGCTACAAGTTTAGACTGAGCATATTAAGAATTTTGGTTTGTCTGTAACAGTTTGACGCCAGCATCGACACTATTTAGATAATTTAGGAGGCAGACTGCTTCGACCCTGACTGTTAGCGCCGGCAACCCGAGCTGTGTGGGATACAATATCCCAGTAGAAGACGGAGATACTCGATGAAAAAGTATATCTCACCACACAGGAATCGAAATCACGCCTTCTGTGTACCACGGCGAAGGGCTTAACTTCTGCAATACACCTGCCGCGTGGATAGAATTGTATTAATACCACACGTTAAAGTTGTAGCTTTCCAAGTTTCAAATAAATGAAAATAAATAAAGAAGAATTAAAAACCAGCCAAGATAAACTTCTCCAGGCCTCTAAAAAATCAATTGATTTAGTTACATGAACACGCAAGAAATATAAAAATTAAATATTCAGAAGGCGACCATAACCTATGACAAACAATACGGCGAGCAACTTTGATCCTTCAGAGTTGACAAATAAATTTACATTGACGTCAAGTTTACATAAGTAGCGTGATCCTTCAAGGTATCCGTTTGAGGACGTCTGGGTATGCACCGGCTTTACGTGGGGGGTGGAGAGTGGAAGGGGGGGGGGCGATGTGGGCACCCCCCTGTGACAGAACAGCACGCGTGTAGCGCTGATAGAGTCAGGGATCCCGTGGGTCATCCAAGTCGCGAGCTGCGCATTAGCACGGTTTTGGGGGAAGCCTCCAAGAATGCTGGACGAGCATTTTAAAAAAATTCAAAGTTGTTGCCTTTGGAGTAGACACTCTTAACGTTGAGTAAAGGCAAAGGCCGTACACTACAAAGATGGTTCATTGTATGCTGTTGTTGTCGTTGTTGTTGACCTTGATCTTGATCTTGTTTTGGTCTCGTTATTGTTCTTGCTCTAGCTCTTGCTCTTGTTCTTCTTTTAAATTAGCCATTATCAATATACCTGGGATACCTGGAGGTGTCATCTCTGGCCCCGAGACTGACCCACCAATTGTTACGGTAGTTAGCTGCTCTTGGGCATTTTGTCACATTTAACCTATCGTCAAAATGCGCAGAATCATAGATGCAGACACTGGTGCTGACGAGATTATATTTTATTTCGTTATTCATAAACGTTTGTTTACTATACTCTTTACTTGTACTTTTAGAAATACAAGGTAGGTCATTCTTTATAGATGGTACAAATTGGTACACGAAAAGGCGCAAAAAATTGTCGCCAGCCGCAGTTTTGAGGACATCTTTTTTGGTGTTTCAAAAAAAGGAAAATAGTATGGAACTTAAGAAACTTGTACCGAGTAGGCACTTCAAAACCCACCTGTGTTGCGTTGCCGTTACTATTTCTGACGTAGTTGTGTTCCAGAGAATGAACCGACGTCTGTGGTGTAATACGGGGCGCCCACTACGGCTAGATCGGGCCGATCCCATCCGTAGTGGGCACCCCATATAACAGTTGGGCACTTCACTGTCGCACACTGAGGTTGTGAGTTCGATTCCTGCGTGGGGAGAGTATTTCTTAGAAGATCTCGGTCTGTCTGCTGGGACATCGTATTCCTCTAAGCCTTGGTAGAATCTGACTGC